ACCCTGAATGCTTGCATAGCTGCATTAATAATCTGTATAAAATAATTTATTAAGGTAAATAGAACTCTAAGCTGGCTGTAAAAACTTCAGACTCTCTCCTCCATCACAACTCGATTGACCATGCTCAAAGTCCAGACAGGATCTGGGGGAAGAGCTTTTCAGTGAAGTCCCAAAGAATAGGAGTGTAATCAGGTGCCCACGTGAGACCAGTCCAGAAAGTGTTGCGCTGGCCCTGGAGGGCATAAATCTTATTATAGAAGCCCTCCTCAAGCTCCTGAGCACAGACCTTGGGAACAGTTAAGCCGTGAGATGCAAATGCAACAATATCAGGAGTGGTCACGTCGTAAGTTCCAGCCTTGTCGATGTTGGTGAAGACCTGCTTGATAAGAGCCTTGGCTTTCTGAGCAGTCAGGTTGGCCTGACCAAGGACACGAGTTGTCCAAAGGTCCTGCTCACCCGAGCGAGAGTAGGCGTCGACAAAGTTCCCTCGGGGAAGGTAGAAGTTGGTGGCGTTGTCAGCGGTGTTAGTAATGCCGGAGACGTCCTTGGGCAGGCTTGTCTTGCCGACGACGCCAACGTACAGCGTCTCCCAGGAGAACTTGGAGAATAGTGACTTCTCCTTGGCATCGAGGTCCCAAGTACCGACGTTATCGGGAGATGGAGTTGCTGCAAAGAGGACCTTCTTGGCCTTGATGGTCTTCTTGCCAGAGGGTGTCTGCACGACGAGCTCTGAGCCCTGGGAAGTTCGCTTACTCCAGGCAACAGTGCTTTCGAGAAGGACGTCATCCTTGATCAAGTTGTAGACGTTGTCGTAGAGTGACTCGGTAGAGCCTGTTGATGGATACTTGAATGAAGGGCCAGTAAGACCAAACCCAAAGGCCGCAAGCTGAGGCTCTCCAACAACAGCCATGACATTCCAAGTCGGGGTATGCGTCGCGTCGGAAAGCCAGATAAGAGTTCGCAGGATGGAAAGGGCACTTCCAAGCTGGTACTTCTCAAGGAATTCGCCAAAGGGAAGAAGAAGGTCTTCGGGGACTTCTCCCTTCTTGAAGTAGCCGTTCTCGAACCAGGGTTGATACTTGATGGCCAATGCAGCATATGTGGCCAGGGCGACAGTGGCATTGATAGTGCCGTAATCGGGATCAACCTTCTTTCCAGTGCTGAAGTCAATGTCTTTGGTGGTGAGTAACCCCTCGGCGGCGCTGACTAGATTGGGAGAGACGAGTCCGACATTGAATCGCTTGAAGAAAGCCTTGGTTGTCTTTCGGTCAAGATACGCTTGGACTCCATAATTGATCGGGCTCGCGTTGGCGCTGGGCTTGTAAACGTGGACATGACCGCCCTAAGAACGCATCAGTAACAGTCTCTTTTCTTGATAAAGTTGACCCACAAGTTTGTTCTCCTTCTCAATCACTACGACCTTCTTGCCGTAATCCTCGCGCAGCCTGACTGCAGCGTAAGCACCAGTTGCGCCACCGCCGACGATACAGACATCGACGTCAATGGTTTCCTGCTTGGGCGTTGCGAGGACACCATGGCCCGCCAGGTAGGCAAAGAAGGGGAGGAAATTATTCAACTTCATATTGTCAATGAATCGAAGGTGAATGAGGAGTTCCGAGAGAAGACGGAGACGGAGGGGAAGAGGCTTAAGTAGGTGCGGCTGATTGCTCACCTCCCTTGTGTCACCGGCCTAGCCCAGAGTTTCCATTGCACGTCAGCACGAGCACAGCGAATCAGCAGGTCGAGTGAATGATGCAGTGTGACTCTGTCATTTAAAAATTCCGGCACGAACGCACGGCCGACTACGTAGTACCGTAGATCAGGAGGGATTTTCAGGGCACCGTGGGAACTACCGACGTAGCATCCGGGACTTTCGGCCATGCAACAGAGTTTAATTCAAGGTCTCATGCCATAAGTCAGCGCACCAACATTACCCGTATAATTTTATTTTAATATTTCTGGAAAGTATAAACATGACGGCATCGCCAATGTCCACGCAATGGACTCTGAATTGAGAGGCTGTGCGTATCCGAGCGGCCGTAGGCTCTTTCATGGTACGTATGCCGTAGAACCTCGGGTCCCACTTGGAGTGTCGAAGTGCCGTGGAACAATGGGGCAGCACTGACATCAAGGTCATTAGCTCATCGGCACGAGCTGTTGACCCCTGGTTCCTCTAGGTAGTACCAGAACATGACAGTAGAAGTGGTCATTTATGTAAAATACTCAGTGGAATATGATGTCATTTGACAGAAAATGGTCTTCTATGTAAAGCTTCTTGAATCTCTATAAACACTACTCAAGCCGATAGAAGCCTTTGTTTTCAACTTGCTTAATCTCCACGACCGTGTCATTTCGCACGTAAATTCCCGCTGTGTCTACTTCAGGACCAGAACCCGACTGCTCGCTCGAGATCATAGTATGAACTCCTTCGGACCGTGACCCGTCACCAGAATGATAATGCAGTCCGTTCTCAACGTCTGCCAATTGGTGTGTTGAGCTCGTTTCATCAGCTTCTCTATCTTTATTTGTCCGAATAAGTGTTGTGAGCTTGATGGCATTGCTCGGTCGGCTGATAGGCTGGCTGCTTTTCCCATATGAACTGAGGAAACTGGAAGGGAGAATATGCACAAAGACTGGACGTAAAAGAGGGAAGCATGCTGTGATAGCTAGTTAATGATTGAATCAGATGACTGACAAAGACAGGTACTGACCTGAGACAATGGCGATATTGACTTCAACAGAGCCCAGAATACAGAACATGGCATAGTCATGTGGCATCTGTGTTGTGTTGTCGGGGTAGTTAACGAGCACAATTAGCACAAACATTGATGCAATGCATACACTGTACTAGAGGTTAGTAATACTTCTTGATGATGTAAGTGAGAGGATATGAGATCTTACATGGTACCAAGAAGGAACAAGGCTCCGATTGCTAGCTTTTGGCCTGTCCGAAGTCTAAGTCTGAAGACTTCAATAATTGGTAAGACTAAGATGATGATATCCATGATAAAATGAGTCGTGATGGTTCCCAGGAAGAACTGGTCGCTGTTGATGTTGCAGACCTTGTCTGTAATAGTGTAGTCCCAAAGTGACTGGACAGGAACGCAACGAAATGTGAGCATAAAGGTTCGAAGGATAATCCAAATGACTACCATGACAAGCATCACCATGATCGGAATGCGAATGGATGAAATGCGAAACAGTCGCCAATACAGACATAAGATGGCGAGCTTGGAACAGGCGATTGATGACGCGTAGCAGAGGGAGTTAAAGTAGGCCAGAAATCGTGCTCGTTGCAGAATCGCCTCCCGTTCATTGGTAGGCATTGAGTCGGGAATATTCACTCCGAGATAAGCATGTAGCGTCCCTGTAGGGCTGTAAGTCTTGTACCCCTAGACAAGACAGGATCGTCACTGACATTCAACCATGATACCGCAATACCCCGTCGCGAAGAGAAACGCAAGGATGGTGAAGTAATCGTCAAACCACCAGCTCATCTTAGTCATGCGCCGGGCGCAGACGCGAAGAATGAGGGACGTCAAGGCCGCGAGCCATGGGATCGCGACACCAGCCCAGATATTAGGTTGGAGTCCAGCCATGGTGTGAGCAGGCGCTGTTGCAGCGCCAATTCATGAGAAAGCGTGCAAAATAATGGGAAACAGTAGTCGAAATGTTTTGCTTTGCTGCAAAGAATGGGGGCGGGATGGGATCTGCATTTTGAATGGCAGCCGATGACGAGAGCTGAACCTGTCTGCAGAACAACTGACTCGTTTTATCAGCCATGATAGCTTTCCCCGGATACGACCATGCCCAAAGAAGCACGCTTTATCGTTATCTCGTCCTAGCTCCAATCGATTACTCGACCGCTGCAGATTACCCGCCAATTTTGAGTTTGCGCTTGTTGGGGTAGTGGGCTTGCTACTGGCTACAGTGCCTTTGTTGGTGACAAGCCTCGTTTGAGAGTTTTGGCAGTTATCTGTTCGACAAATCATCTGGAACAGAAAGATGCTTCCTTCGGCTTGACTGATAAAGAGCTGAAGCAAGCTTAGGCCGTCTAATTTCCACTCTTTTCGAAAAAGGGGCTTTTCTCGTCGGTATTTGGGTCTTGACTCGCTGTCAAACATCATGATTCTCGAGAGTCGCATCCAAGCCACAGCTGAGCGTGTTGTTAATTCCGCTCCTGAGTCTTGGCATTTATCATGAATACTGAAGAGACGAGCCATTCCCGAAATGCAGAATTTACTCGGCACCAGAATCACTAGCATCCTTTTGACAGTTTCTTTTTCGCTTAAATCTCCCAAGATCTGTCCTTTGCGCATTGACCTCGGATCATGGGACAAGGAGCGACGCTTGTACCTTTTTAATGCGCCTTATCATCTGAACTTCAGAGATCCCTGCTGTTGAGCATCCTACCAATGTAACCGAGGATTTGGGATGCGATGCTCATTGGTGTTTCTTTCTCATGCACGACTCCACATGGGCTGAACAAATCAGTCTTGGGACATGGGAGCAAGGTCAATCAAGACTGATTCATGGCCAGATAAGCCTCAGTTCTCGGTAGCACCAGCCCAGTCAGATACTGGGCTGGCGTCCTCGTACTTTGAAGCCATGCGAGGGCTTTGGCAACACTACCGAAGCTTCTGCGAGCTTTGAAACAGCCACTCAATGCATAGCTAACCCACTGCGGCGATGCAGACTACGCCAATTTCAGGGCCAAAAACCTGGAGAATTGTCATGGTTTCAAACTTATAACTTATTAGTTCTGTCAAAAATGCAAGTAAGCGGACTACCGGGCTTAGAGAAACACCGAGTGGGTATCCTCGGTCCGGCGTCCGTTTCCATTGGGGGGGAGGGCGCCACTTCGCGGTCCGCTTCAGACTGTGCCAATGACACAAGGATATACCAGTGCAGTATGGTGACTTGGAGTATTTAAATATTAGACTTGTTCTCCTGTCGACCAACTCAAACAGCTCGATTGTTAAGTCTTGCCAGGTTTTACAATGACTACAAGCACGTTCAAACCAACATTTTCACTCCTCAACCACCGCGGTGCTGTGGTAACAGAAACAGACTTCCATGGGAAATACACTCTTGTCTTTTTCGGCTTTACCAACTGCAAAGTTGTATGCCCTCGAGCGATTGAGCGCTTGAAATCTGTCCTAGACGATCTTGGACCTGAGACTTCAGAGCGAATCAATGTAGTCTACATCTCAGTTGATTCAGAGCGTGACACTCCGAGCACGTTATCCAACTTTCTTGATAAGAAGGGAGCGTCGAACTTTATCGGCCTAACTGGTACCAGGAAGCAGCTCGAATCCGTTCGACAAGCCTTCCATGTCTTTGCACGGCACAAGACAGATAATAGTGTACCGGAAGGCTACGCTATTTCCCATACTGCCCTAACCTTTATTCTTGGGCCAGATGGCCAAGTTGTGGACAACCTCAACGACAATCTAGATAAAAAGGAAGTCATCAAGAGACTTCAGAAAGCATTGAGTGCGCACTTTGACGCAAAGGTCTCAGCGCAGTACCGTTCTGTATTAGACCAGGACTCAACGATGGTTGAGTCTCATGGCAAGATGGGTAAGAAGCAGCTCGCCAGTATCAGACATATTGGTAATCTGGCTCGCCAACTGAAAGGGGATTGGTCTAATATGATGGGTCGAATGGATCTTAACGACGGTTTCGGTGCCTACCGCTTCCAGCTTGCATATTCTTTTTATGCACTTGCTTTGGCACACTTCCATCGTTTGCCCGCCGCACCAGGTTTATTTAAATCTACCATGGAAAAAAATGATCAAAAAAATGCTGTCACCCGACTGTTGGTATTACTGGCGTGATGCGAGCACGGGTGGAGGGATTGCGCGAACCCCAAGGACTGAGGGCTGGGTTGACCCTGTCCCGAAGGACAACATTATGTACAGCGCTTACGTTCGAACAATGACTTTGTTATACAACAGTCTCTCTGACGATGCCAGGTACCAAAAGCCGGGAGCGCTTACCATGACGTACGATCCAGTTCTGTGGGGTGACGGGGCTTTTACATTTGAGTACGATCAAAACAGCATAAACGATAAAGTGTATTGGAACATGGTTGAGAGTGGATTCCTAGGCGTTGCCTGTGAGCCTCATTGTGTTTTTCAAATCTGCAACCAGCCACCGATCTTGGGCTTTCGTCTTAGTGACGCCTTGCATGGGACCACTACCGCTTAAGAAGTGACTTCTGGATGCATGGGAAGAGTTTGGCGGAAGCCTAAGTCAAAATGGCGGCTACAATACCTTCGTGTCTACTCACAACAAGATGTTATATCCAAGCCGTGGTACCGGTGGCGACTGTTGGGCTGCTCTGCTCATGCACGCCTGGAGGCCCCAATTTGTCGAAGACAATTACCAGAAAAAGCGAGATGAGATGATAGAAAGGTTGAACGACGGCACAATCTCGTTGAAATTGCCAGACATAACTAGCAGTGCGTCACCGCCCCCCCCCCCCCCCCGATCCATTTGCAGTTGATGCGTTTGGCTGGGTGGCTGCCCTCGCCGCGGAGACTGGTGATGAGGAGGTATTACATGGCATGCTCGCATATGCAGACAAACACTTCAGCCCTGTTATAGTGAATGGCGGTCTATTGTATCCACGCAGGGATGATATGCTTGATGAAAATGGGCATTATGTTCAAAACACACCCATGCAAGGTAAAGCCATCCTCCCGCTTGCGCGACTCAATGTCTCCAAGGGTTTTCAGCGGCTATACGAGAATCCATGGGGCCCCAACAACCGACACTACTCCGAGCCGGCGCTGGACGAGGTTGGGCAGACTGTCGATGTTTACCGGGCCGTCTTTTTACCGAAAGAAAACATTTTGCGGTTTGATATTGCTATATTTGAACCTGGCGCTAACGGGAAGGTGGAATTGATACGGGTTTTCAACCGAGGAGACTGGGCTCTTTACTGCGACACCCGGAAGATTGCTTGGGGTGATAGGGCACAGCTCATCGGCTCTGAGCCATTTGTAGAGGTCAATCGCAACAACGGAAATCTAGTCATTTCGATTTCAGATACTGAAATTCTTAGTTTCCAGATACAGTGGTCTGCTTTACATTAGAATACTTCTAATTTTATTATCTTTTTTAAACCGTTTAAAAGATAATTAGATTGCTTTGCTACACCATTTAATGAGGAAAAAGGGATATCGGGTACCCTATAGTGGGGCGAGGAAATTGCTTGCCGATTCGGCACCGACTGGGGATAACCTCATAACGCCAGACGGGGTTAACTGGATATATCGCCGAGGAAGCCATATTCAAGTTCATTGATCGTCCTGAAGTGTCCATTTATTAAGCTCAGAGGACTATATAAGGGTCATATTCTACCACTGGTTAATCATACTCCAAGCTTTAACTCTTGTCTTAACTCAACACTCAGCAATTAGCTTTGAAATCATCACCATGTCTACCACTACACTCGACGCTTCTTCCCCAAGTACGTACGGGCCCTCTGAAACAGCCCTTCTCCTGCTTGATTGGTACACCCTGTTCATCGAGAAGGTGGCTGGTCCAACTGCTGAGCCAGCCTTGAAGGTCGCAGTTGAACTCCGAAACTGGGCCAAGGCTCACAACATCACCGTCGTTCACTGCCTCATCGATGCAAACGGCACTCCATTCCCAGCCTGCAAAGGCGTCGACCGCTTCCAAGGGCTCTTGCAAATCATGAAGTCCCTGGAAGAACCTGAACCAGCTGAACTTCAGGCCGACGACAAAGACGAGCTCACCTTTCACCGTGTCCCGGGACACATCTCGGCGCTCAAGTCGCCAGGCTTACTTGACTATCTGAAGAAGAAGGGGATCAAATCTGTTGTTCTCTCCGGCCTGAGCACTTCCGGCTGTGTTTTGAGAACGGCGGTCACAGCGACGGATGCTGAATTTGCGACAACAGTCATCAGCGATGCTTGTGCTGACGGCGATGAGGAGCTTCACCGAGTCATTTTGGAGAAGATCATTCCTTCTAGGGGTCACGTGAAGAGTTCTGCAGAGTTTATGAAGGAATTTGAAGGGGCTCAGAGTGTTTAAATGAGAGATTTAAGACTACTTAACAAAAATCTATAAAGATTTCTTTATGCTCTTTCAGAAAGTCGTGTTATTGGTATGGTTATCTAGAGTATACTACAGCCAAATGATGGCTGGTGGCGAAGAGGCTCTGTTTCGTAGCCCACGGAGAGCCACGTCGCGCTCGTGACAACGCACCCAGATATCAGCGACTTCCCTACTTTTATTCGACTTAACATATGAAACAGTGTAATAATTATTGAACTTGGTACTGCCACAAAGAACTATTCTGCAGCATCTCTTTCGAGATGATATATAAATATATATCTTATTATCTAATTATAAATACATTTATCGTTAAGTCGACTTTGAAGCTAAGATAGATAAAACCAGATATAATTCTCTATACTTTGGTGTTCTTATATATATACATCCCTTAATTTCAACAAGAGTCGATGCCTCGGTTTGTCCAATGGAAATCGGATATCAAGGAGCCATATTGTATGTCAAAAGTTGTTGATGCTTCACGAGCGTCAAGTCCAATGCTCACTCGGTAGTGGGTGTAGTTCGAGCTACCTGTGCTTTTTACCCTCGTCATCTGCCAAGGCCGAATGGAGATTGTCGGTAGCATAGCTCCATACTGAGGTATCTTGTGAGCCATTTGAACAACTGGCATTTGGCCTTTGGCGATCTTATCATTTCGAACGGCGGCCTCAATCGTGACAGTCAAGTTGCCATTGTGAACATTGGTGCTAAGGCAAGACTTGGACGCAATATAGAGGAGCTCATCCTGAATGGGATATCCCCCAGTTCCCTGGTTGTCAAGAACGACTTCTTTACCATCCCCTGACTTGAGATGGATATTGAATGCTTTGGCACCGGCTGCGACATCGAGATCTGCGGCGAACTGATACCATGTGAAGACTTCGTTGAAAAAGCCATACGACTGACCGCCGCCGACCATGCGAGAGGCTTCGACTGCTACACTTTTCTTCTTGTCAGTCAGGATACTTAATGACACTTTGAGTGTATCAGCATCGCGGCCAGTTCTTTTGCTCGTGCGAACTCGGATATTGCCCTCGAATGCAATGCGGGATTGGTTAGTGGCAAGCTCCAACTTGTTGATATAAGGCTTGACATCAACCAGCTCGATAGGCTCGCTGAGCTGAACTGTGGAAGGAACGGTGTCTATCAGGCGCTCGAAGATAGTCGCACAAGTTTTCTGAAAAGTTTGCGGATCCTTCATCTTCGACATTGTAACATTTCTGTCGGATCCGAAGATGCGCTTGTCCGAGTTTGTGGTTTCGTTGCGGCCAAAGACCAAGGGATTCGCGCCATTGCTCGCGAGGTACTCTTTGACAACCACATTGTCAAACTCAGTGGCGGTGCTGTCGAACTTGGGCTTGTTGGACGGTGATGGCTTTCCTCCTGCGATTTGAGGGTTCTCGGTGCTATGAACACCCCCAACGGTATGACCACACGCGACAAGGGCAATCATGTCCTCTCGCGTGAAACCGGCTCTATTGAAGGTTGCTAAGGTCTTCTTAAGGTCATGTTCTGGCTTGGGTACACCAGCTGGCCCAGCTTTGGTAGCATCGATACGACCCATTCTGAGCGGCACCTTTTGACCGCCACAGCTTGCGACCGATGCCACGAGGCTCAAGGCTAACATGTCAGCACCACTCGAACGAGGTGAAACAAATTCGTGCAGCTCAGACAGTGTATGGTTAAAAGCCGCGCCGTTATTCTCGTCGCGATGGGTTTCGAACATTATCGAGGCATCGAGGCCCCCGGTGCCCTTGGCTTTGTCGTGCGTGATGGTGTCGTGGAAAACGGTTCTAATCCATTCTGCTGAAAGCTGTCTCCCAGGTTCGTTGGAATTGAACCCGCAAGGGACAACCACTGCTCCGTTAGCATATATCAGATCTCCGCTCAGCTGAGCGGATTAGGGACCACAACATACAGTCCGTGAAGCCGAAGCGTATGATACCATCCTGCATCGCAAACAAATCTTCTAGGAAATCGCTTTTGGCCGGCCATACGTATTTGCCTTGAGCCTGGGACGCGAGAACGCAACATAGACTGATAGCTTTGAGAAGACTCATTTTGCAATATGCGCAATGAATGTATCAAGCACGACGTAGACGATAATCTGAAGAAAGAAAAGACAACTTGTATGGGTCCTGTTAGACACTAGAGCAGCGTGATGTTATATACGAAGTACAAACAACGAAATGTGACCTTCTTGTTCTAGATTGGATTAAACTGAAACAAGGGTGTTGAATACGAGGTGTTGAGTACGAGGTATTGTCCGTAAAATTAGGATCTCCTGCAATCTCGAGTCTAGGCCGTCTCAGGGTGATTCTTCCTCAGCCAATCGGCGATTGATAATAGCTAATCAGGCCAAAAATAGATCATCTTCCCTGCGCAGGAGGCTGTATTCTAACTAGTACCAAAGCATAGGCATCGGAACTCCCCTGTCAAAATGTCCTAGTGTATAATACAGGCTTAACGAGATAGGATAAATTGTAGATATATATAGAGTATATTAAGGAAAAACACTAGCTCATCCTAGAAAAAGAACGGGCTAGTCTAAAAGTCTTAAATTGTTTAAATTTATAGAACTTTATAGTTATAACTAGCTTAATACTCTATAATAAAAAAAATAGCAATATTCTAATAGAGCTTTAGGGACGGGCTTAACGTATCCAACCTATTATATCCGTTAGTCCGACGTCATTGGCTCAAAGGCTTCTCCACCATGGAAAAATGGGGCCGTCACGAATTGGCTGGATCTGGAGATTTCTCATTCTTCTCCTCTTTATACCTAACACTTACTGGATCTCAGACTTCCACTCAGCTTCAACAGAGCTACAATCAAGTGACTCTTACCATCTTATGTCTATGTTCAGCGCAAAACCTGTATGGGTCCAACACGCACAAACCCAAACGGATGTCACAATTGTCGACGAAAAAGGTTCCGCTGTGATGGATCAGTCCCCTCTTGTCGCAAGTGCATATCATTAGGCAAAGAGTGTCTTGGATATGGTAAACTGTGGAGATGGACGGATTCTGTAGCCAGCCGAGGGAAGCTGTCTGGCAAAAAGATACCTTTGCTTAAAGACAACTCAGATCATCCATCATCAACAAGCCAGACAGACATAGAAGCAAGCAGACTGACTATAAACACCGACAGTCAAGGCAGAAGTAACGAGTTTCCCCCAGATCTGGATCTTGTTGATGATACTCAGCTCTACGGCAACTTGACTGACCCTTTGTTCAACAACATGAACTCAAGCGATCGATATTATTTATCATATTGTTTGCCGTCCCCTATTGGTCGTCCTATGCTCTTTGCTGACTATGAATAATCAGTTGCCAATGGCCTTTGTCCTCAGCTTGTAGCAATAGACCTACCAGGCCACAATCCTTTCCCAAGATTGTTGCCCATGGGATTCTGCAGCCCCGTGTTGCAGTACACGATGATCACTGCGGCAGCTCTACATATGTCAAATGTTTTAAGACCAGACACCGACAAGTCGCCAGTGACACTAAACCCCGCTGATAAATGGGATACATCTAGAAGAGCTATGCTTGACGCATTGGCAGCCAAACAAAAAGCACTGTATCTTCTCCGCATGGCTTTTCTAGACCTGGACACTCATGGACGTGGTATGGTCTTGACAGCTGCTATGCTTCTTGTGACCGCCGATATGATCGACTCGGGGAAACATGGCTCCAAGGCACATCTCGACGGAATCGGCTGGTTGCTAAGCTATGCTCAGCCAGCTACCAGCGTGGGCGGGATGCTCAAGGACTTTGTCATATCAGATTGTTACATGTAAGCTTTGTTCTTACCCCTCGAAACGGCGAAATGCTAACTGATGTAACAGCTTTTATGTCTTTGCTTTGACTTTCATGGACCAAATTCCACAGTCCTCCCTTGCTCTGAACACCACAATAGCGTCGTCTGCCATTCACTATGCCGCCCGGAACAGCTTTATTTGCTGCCCTGCCGAGATCCTCCAGATTTTGTGGTCCACTGCCATAATCTTGCAGAGGCAGTCAGCCAACAACGACGATGTGGATGGAATGGCTGCGAAAGGTCTTGAATTATTCATGAACGCCATGAAATTCAACGTCGAAACGTGGTCTCAGGATATCCAACAAGTGCCTCTTGGTCGTCAGGTCACTGATATCTCGAGTCGGATACACACTGGATATACACATCAAATGGCATGCTGTCTATACATCATGTACGCGATTCCTTCCGTGAGGAGCTTTCTACCGCAAGATACGGAGCAGGATCTCGAACAAGGGCTTATCTTTCATCTCCGCCACATCACTGATGAGGACCCCAACTTCAAGACATCCTTTTGGCCAACGTTCATCGCTGGAGCTCAAACAAGTGATCCCAGTCAGCAAGCGTGGATAATGGATAGAATGAAGAGGCAGTCGCGTTTGTTCCCATGGGGCTTTTTGTATACGGCGATGGAAACGCTTGAGCTTATCTGGAGAGAACGGACCAAAGCTCCCGATGGATTGAACTGGTTGGAGATTCTGAGAAGTCCCGAAGTAAGCTTTCTGATAGTGTAGGTAGGCGCTTGACAGGGTCTCAGAAGACCAGGTCTCTCGGACCTTAGTAAAGAGCTCACTGTGATGCAAATATCCGTCTACGACATATATCATTGATATGTTATCAACTTCTCACGAGAGGCATATTGTCCATATCTTTGATTGAACTTGTTAAGATATAACAAAAGCATGTAACCTTCTAAGATCTCTTTTAATAAAATACAGACTTCGCAAGACTAGCCTATAGGCGACTTGAGACTGATCGGCCGACAGCAGCAGATTTCGCAGCCTCTTTTCCAGCCTTGGCTCCAAAAACAGCACCTGAAGTCAGTCCGCTTCCACCAGGGTAATTCGAGTAAAACAGGCCTCCCACCATCTCTCCCGCAACATAGACGTTTGGCACTGGACTACCAGTTGAACCATGGATCAACTGAGCAGTTTGAGGATCTACCTTGACACCACCAAACGTGAAGGTGACGCCGCAGGTGACCTTGACTGCTACATAAGGTCCCTTGTCCAAAGGTAGAGCCCAGTTGGACTTGGCTAACGTAAGCTTCTTCGCGGAAGACTGTGTTGATAGTCCATCTCTGATGGCGGGATCCCACTTGACGTTGGGGTTCTCGCGACGGTGAGCATAGACCGCGTCGTTGTACTCACAAACAGTGTTAATAAAGGCAGCCTTGTTTCGAAGACCGCGTTCTGCGCACTTGTCGGCCAGTTCCTCCAGAGTATGAGCAGTAATTCGCTCAACGCGTTCCTCGCGGTACTCTTCTCCCCGTAGCCAGCCGCTAGTTCTGGAGTCCCAAACCTGGAAGGCGAGGTGCTCGGGTTGTTGAAGAATGGCACGACCAAACTTGGCATAGGTGTAGTTTCGAAGATCGATGCCTTCGTCAACAAATCTCTCGCCATCAACGTTGAGCATAAGGCCGAGAGGGTATCCTGACTTGGTGTACTCGTTGGAAGCTTCTCGATCACCCGTGTTGGGGTTAGCACTGGCATCCCAAGCAACGGAATGACAGCCAGACCAGTTGCCCACAGCCTGCGCACCAAGTTGTTTGATAGCCAGGTCCAAAACATCACCAGTATTGTAAGGTGTACCTCGAACCATGGCCAAGTCCCAGCCAGGCCCGAGGAACTGACTTCGCATCTGAGGATTCGACTCGAAACCGCCAGCAGCTAAGATGACAGCACCAGCGTTCAATGTACGTTTGACGCCGTTGTGGGACACTTGGACGTCATAGCCGTCACCAGACGAGTGCTTCTTCAGCCCCGTAAGGCCAGTTGACCACAAAACTTGAACATTGTGCCTCTTGATGGCAGCAAGATAGTCCTGAATAAGACCCTTACCTCCATCCTCTGTCTTGATGCACATGCCGCCCCAGAACTTTATCCTCCCATCAACTTCATATGCTTGCCTGTTGAAGGACAGTTGGAATCGTATTCCATTCGCAGCAAGCCACTTGATGGTAGCATTGGAGTTTTGGATGAGGCTCTTTGAGAGTTCAGGGTCTGAGCGACCCATGCAGACTCTGTCCATATCATTTTGGAAGTCTTTCTCGGTGTAAGGGGCAAGATCGATCTTCTCAGCTTTTTCCCGGGAGACGTTGTTGACGATTGGTAGGACATCTTGAAGTCCGCCATGGGCAATCCGATAGGCGCCAGCGGTGAAATAAGAGTTTCCACCCACCCAGTTCTCGGGGCACTTGTCGATAAGGAGGACGCTTCCTGCGCCGTTGTGAGCTGCTGAGAGGGCTGCTGCAAACCCGGCATTACCACTGCCTACAACAAGGACATCAACTTGCTTTGGAAGAGCCATGGTAAGGTGAGAGGTGATCTTTGAAGGGAATTGGGATAAATTGAAGTCTAGGAGATGTTTTGTGATAGATGAAAGATACCGGGTTGATTACGCTGATCTAAGGAGTTTATATAATTATATCAGCGCCTCCAGAGAATGATGCTGTCGCAATTACGCCACTCAAGACGCGGGGACTCATCCTCCGAATTGACGACCAAGCCACTGTGCAACTGCTTTCAATTGGTCCTATCCCCGGGGCCTGTGGCTGGTAGTGGAGAAAGGAAAAGCCAACCCGGAGACTGATTCTCCGACTCATGGCTCGGTTACTTCGGCAAAGACAAGACTCCACATTGCACTCGGAGCTTTCTTCTCCGGCCTACGAAGCTCAGTATTGCTCGAAGCAATTCTACAACTCCGCGTCCAAGATGGGCCCTTGTGCAACAGTCTTATCATAACAATCATATCATTCCTGCTCCACTATTTTGCAAGACCCTGGGTCATGTCTTCTCGTGGTAATGACGTGATAATGGTCGCTCACGAAGGACCTAGCCAACGACAACCCAAGTCGTTGGCAAAAGCATGCATGGCCTGTCGGACCAAGAAGATCCGCTGCGACGCTGTGAAGCCTGAGTGTGGAAATTGTGTGAATCAGAAACGCGAATGTATATACCGGAGAGAAACTCCACGAAAAAGGTACGTTATACTAGATGGAGTTGATGAGTCTAATCAGTGGCA